TTCCTTCCTTCCTTCCTTCCTTCCTTCCTTCCTTCCTTCCTTCCTTCTTCCCTCTTCTCTCCTTCCTACCCCCCTCCCTCCCTCTTTGAAAGCCCTGGAAAACACTCTGTCTTTCGTATTACCATAATATTGGGATGGTGAACTGGTGTTTTCCGTCCTGTCTTATTGTTGGTGTTTTCTACATGCTTTTTCTTTAAGGACAGATATTCTTTAAGGGCAAAGATTCCCCACAGGTATGATGGTACAGGCCTGTGATCCCAGCACAGAAGTTCAAGGCCATTCTCAGCTACAGAGAACCCCAGGCCAGCCTGGGCTACATGAGAACTTGTCCCAGAACAACAACAAGAAGCAAAACCAAGCACTCAGGTTCCTGGTTTCCCGCACAGGGCCCAACACAGATCTGGGAACCTGGCTCTAAAGCAAGAGTATGCCGCCTTGGGGCACTCCTCCATCCGTGAACAGTGTACATGAACTGTATATACTCTGTATGCCTTGGTTTACCCACTTGTAAAACAGGACAGTTTGGGGCCCTTCTTAGGCTGTGGAGATAAGATTAAGCCATATATGTAAAGCCCTGGGATCAGGAATCCACATATCACAAGTGCACAGAAAACAGCACTCAGTACTCAGCATTAGTACTCAGTGAGGGATATATGACATGGAGATGAGTTAAATATTCTAGGGGAGGATTTGGCAAACTTAAGAAGATGAACAAAAATTATGCCACAGTCTTTCAAATGATAAAAGCAAAGGTATATACCTTCATGGATTTATAAAGCCGTTCAGCAAAATATGCAGGCTTGTTCCTCATGCACTTCACTGTGGAGAAAAGGAGCAAAAAAGTAAGCACAGGCCGATCCTTGGCCCAGTAGCCCTCCCCCCCCCCCGTTCCCAGGCATGTTTCCCTCCCCTTAATAAATCATCTCTAGCTAAAAAAAAAAAGAAAAGAAAAGAAAAGAAAAGAAAAAGGTTACAGGAAAAAAAAAATCCGAAAATAAAGAAAGGTGACAGTTGTTTTCCATTTCTACAAAGTCCTCAGAAATGTTTGCTAGAGCCACTGAAGGCACTTCCTGACATAGTCTGCACTCCGGAGCCTCTCTCACGTGGACAGAATCCTCAGCTTACTGACGTCTGGAGAAGTCACTCATGAAGGTCATCAAAGCAAGACTGGCTTATAGTTCCAAAACTATTTATTATTCATCTGCCATACAAAACAGTTATTAGGGAGCTGGAGAGATGGCTCAGCAGTTTTTGTTGAGGACTTGGGGTTCAATTCCCAGCACTCACAACAATTGCTCACAACAGGCTGTAACTCCAGTTTTAAAGGATTTGACACACTCTTCTGACCTCTTAGGGCACAAGGCATGCATGTAAGTGAAACATCCATACACATAAGAAAATTTAAAAATCTAAATGAAGCTATTAAACCCAGCCAATCACCCATCAGTTTGCCAGATACAATTAGCACGGCATTATCTTTCTCCTATAATGAAATAAAAAGGTGCCAAAGACAAAAGGCCATAAGCCCCCTGGCATAATAGCAGTCAAGTTGTACAAAATATTTCTATTTGGCTTTTTTCAGTCAGGCTCTCACATAGCCCAGGCTGGCCTTGAACTCACTATGTGGCTCAGGATGATTATGGACTCCTGATTCTCCACCTCCCAAGAGCTGGGATTACAGATGTGCGCCACACCTAGCTTTGCATATATTTCTTGTTGAAAGTTGTGGGGTGGCTCATGTCTATGATCTTAGCACTCGTAAAGCTAAGATAAAGTGATTGACACAAGCTCAAAGCCAGCCTTGGCTACTGAATGAGACTTCTAGAAAAAGAAAATTCTGGTTTCTTTGAAGACTCAGTTGTATCGTGTGAATGTGGTTTTTGTTTTGGTCCCAAGTGTGGGATGTGGGAGTGTTTTTTCACCTCGAAAGGCAGACTCGTGATCTTTGTTAGTTAAAAACAGACTCATGAGAGGAAATGTGATGTTTTGCTGGAAGCTGTCTCGTATGGGGGGCATAGAGTTTGTCAGCTGAGAAACGTGCTTGTGTGGACGCTGAGAAAAGATAAGTAAAAGCCCACACACAGTGAGATAACGCTTTTGCATCACTACGCTTTGCAACAGTTCACATCCTTTGCTGGGCTTAGTTTTTCTACACTTCATGTCAAAGAGAGAAAAGCACCGGAGAACTTCTCTCTGGCTGAGTCTTGCTGCTTCCATTGACTCATGCCAATTTGCCAGAATCTTGCTGTTTCTGCTGAATCACAGCTGCTGTTGATTCATGTTGTTGTTTGGTGTTGGTTACTTGACTGGATGGCCGGTATCGGGACAATGAAGGGTAAACTGGCCCCAAAGAACTCCATCTAAAAAGGTCCACAACTCTCTTTTCCTAATAAGCTTCTTTCTCCCCACCTCTGGCCAGAGGGTTGGAAGGGAGGTAGAAGCTTTTAAGAACCCTAAATACAGTAGGTTAGGGGGAAAATCTAAGCCTACAGTTCCCAGTACGCATGTGGCGCCTCTCAGCCATCTTTAACTCCCATGTCAGTTATCCAGCGCCCTCTTCTGGTGCACAGACATACACGCAGGCAAAATACTCACATGCATGAAATTATTTTAAGAAAACAGAAATTGACAATTCTGGAACCTCAGCTGGGTGTGGCGGCACGTGGCTATAGGTCAGGAACTTTGGGACGGAGGTGGGAGGATCACATTAACCCAGGAGTTCCAGACCAGCCTGGCCAACTTCCTGAAAATCCATTTAAAAAAATCTAGAATATACTCTCAGCGATTGAAGCAACTTTAATTTCAGAAAACCACCATTCGTACCTCCGCGACAACATCTGGACGCTAAGGAGGACCATCAGCATCAGGTCTGCAGTCACCAGCTTACCTATAGCCAGCAGGGCGTCTTCAAAGCTTCCGGATGTTTCAGATCTAATACTCTGTTCAATGTCCTTCTGGGAGATCCTTTTGTACTCATCGAACACTGCAGCCAGAAACAAAACAGTGTGATTCAGAGAACTGGGCTGGTGTGATGGTTCAGCAGCTAAAGGCACTTGCAGCCAAACCTGATGAGTGGTTGCCAGGAACCCACATGGTAGAAGAAGAGAAATGACGTTGGCAAGTTGTCCTCTGGTCTCCACACGTGATCAGTGGCATTTGCATACCCATACACATGTATGTACACACACACACACACACACACACACACACACACACACACGCACCTCCTCTCTAAATGAATAAATAAATAAATGTAATAAAAATTTAAAACAGAAAACTAAAATTTATGGGGAGAATGAATACAAGCTTACACAACTTTTTTTTTTTTTTTTCATATTTCAAGAACCAGTTAGTACTGTGGATGAGGACCCAGGCAGGATGAGGCCTGGTGGACTGGGCTCATCCAAGAGGAAGAATTCTGAGATCTTTGGAGAACAGCAGACATTCCCCTGGTGAGGACCTTGGTCCTCTATGTCCAGTGCAAAGAGTCTTTGAGGACGTTTGCTTTTTCTCTTCAGGAAAGGGGTCTGGTGGCTCACACCTGCAATGTCAGCACTTGGCAGATGGAGGCAGGCTCGGCAGGTCTTCGCTAGATTCTGAGTTCTAGGCCAGCCTGGACTAGAGACACTGTCATTTTGAAATGTCAGCCTCAGAAGTTCTTACCACTCTTCCATTTGGCTCATTAAGACAAGAAAAATTCTGCCTCCTCAAAACTGAGTCACATCTGGTAACAGCCGGTTGCAACTTTTAAGAAATTCGTCACATAATTAATTTTTTTTTAAATTTTAAAATATTGTCTCTTTCTGCCAAGGACTTTTGAATGTGATGAATATATTTTCTGCTCTTCTAGAGACGCCTTAGAACAGCTATCTCTTTTGTTTATCGCCTTAGTGTCCTTTGCTGACATACTGTCTTATCCCCATCCATGTGATTCTCACAGGTTGTCAGTAAAGAGACACCAATGTCCAGTGACTTACATCATCACCTCAGCTCAGCAGGCTTCCTCAGAGCAATGAGGACATGGTTTTCTTTCTTTTTCTATTTTTTTTTTCATTTTTCTCAGACAGGGTAGTGCATACCTTTGATCCCAGCACTCAGGAGGCAGAGGCAGGAGGATCTTTGTGAGTTTGAGGCCAGCCTGAGCTACACAGAGAGTTCCAGGACAGCCAGGGCTACACATGAGACTATCTCAAAACAAATGGTATGTAGTGGGTATATGGGTACTAACACGTGTGGACACGTGTGTGCCCGCATGTGGGAGCCAGAAGTTGGTATCAGGTGTCTTCTTATTCTTAATTCATTTTAATTAACTAATTTATTTTGAATGCACCTTCACTGTTGTGCCTGTACTGATGCACGCAAAGGACACTGAAGGGCATTGAATGTTTTCCTCACCATCTTACTGCTTTAAGACAGGCTCACTCAATGAACCGGAAGTTCACTGTTTCAGCTAGGCTGGCTAGCCAATTGACTCCTGGGAGCCACCTGTCTCTGGCCTCCAATGCTGGCCATACAGGCACATGCACTGATACCTGGGAGCATGGGATTCAAACTCAGGCCCTCCCGCTTGCCCAGAAAGCACTCTTTCCCACTGAGCCGTCTCCCCACTCCGCCTCCTTGTTTTTATTTTTTTTGAGACAGTCTTCACTGCACCTGGAGCTCACTGGCCAGCCTGGCCAGCCCCAGGCGTCATACTATTCCCAGCTTTCCTACAGGACTACAGGCACGTGCCGGAACCAGCTTTTCCTTTGTTCCCAGAAGCACCTTGATTTCTCTTCTCATGAAGGGGTTCAGACCTCCCTCCAATCTTGGGAGCCACTAATATTTTCCATTTTCCTTTTTGTCAGTGTGTATTTGCCCAGAATCCAAGAAGCTAATCAGAGCCCCCCCCCCCCACACACACACACTGTGTATTGGAGTGAGAGCTTCCAGATAGAAAATTATTCACAAACCTTAGTTTTGGCCATTACTGTTGGTTGGTAACAAGATTGTTCAGTTTCACTGCCTAAATAGTGCTTAAAATATTGTCTCTTGAGCAGAGGGTGGGGGTTGGGAAACGCAGGGGTGCACACCTTTAACCTCAGCACGAGGGAGGCAGAGGCAGTCAGATCTCTTAAGTTTGAGGTCAGCCTGGTCCATAGAGAGAATTCCAGGACAGCCAAGGCTACACAGAGAAACACTGCCTCAGAAGAGAAAAAACAAACAAACAAACAAACAAACAAACAAGTCTCTTGGTAACTTACAAACAGGTAATTTTTAACTGCCCAACGACAGACACACTTGGAATTGAAATTTCTTAGTAAATGCTTCCCAGGAGCTGAAGTTCTGGGAATGTGCCACAAGGGGGCGCTCACATTGTAACTAGGCACAAGGGCGCTAATAACATAAAAGAAAGCACACAGGCCCAAGTCTCCCGGTGGTGGCCTATGATTTACTAACGGAATAATTGCTTATTATTTTCTTTTTGCCACTGAGGAGAATCTAGAATAATTACAACTTGTAAATGTGTCAAACTTTGCAGTTACGACGTGTTTTCAATTTAGTCTCCAATTTCCCACAAGCTTTGTAACTCGGCGCCTGTGACAGGGATTACAGTGGTTCATAAAATGATGATGCCCATGATGGTGTAAAAAGCTCATCTACAAGACAAACTGCCCCACCGAGTCCTCATTGCTGTTTATAAGAAGACTCAGCCCGACAACAAATACTCTGTAATGGTTTAGCGCTGTTTCCCCGGAAAGAAGTTAGAAGCACATTGCAAAGTTTAGAAATTATCAGAGCAAATCAGGAACATCACACAAAGGAAATAAAAAATGAAATTACCCATGACTCATCTCACTCAGCGTAACCCTTGAAGAAATCTATCAGTGACGTTACACAGAAACAAGTATCAACATCAACTAACACTTATTTAGTTGGCTCCTCAGGTAGCGGAGGTTACTTTCTTATGTAACTTTCTTATGAATGGCCTGCTAGGGCAAGAAAGGACTACGACGGCCACTTTCCGGGAATAAGGAATGCTAAATTATTACAAACACATTGAGTAATCTGTCAGTTACTCAAATTAATTTTTCAGAATTGGCCTTCATTTATGTAATTTGATTCCCACATTTACAAGATAAAAATCTAACCGCTTAGGTTTTTTCTGTGCCATGGTGGGGGGAAGGTCATCAGTTGGAGTGGCACTATGATCAAGACACATATATATGTTAGGGATTATCAAAGAAGAAATGAAAGTTTTTTTAAAAGGCTATCAGGGGCTGGAGAGATGGCTCAGTGGCTAAAAGTACTTGCTGCTCTTCTGGAGGATCTGAGTTTAGGTCCCTTCTCAGCACCCATCTGGTGGCTCACAACTGTCTCTGACTCCAGTTCCAGGGGATCCAGCACACTCCCCTGATCTCCAAGGACACCAGACACACGCATTATTTACAGACATGCATTTAGTCAGAACATGCACACACATAACATAAAACAATCCTTAAAAAGCGAAAGGCTGTCAACCACTCCGTGAGAACTGCGTGAGTCAGTGGGCAGGCACACACCATGCAGCAGATGGTTCCGGTTCCGGGAGCAGAGGATGCTGAGGAATTTCACCTCGTCTGTCCCCCATCTCTTCTCTCCAGCCTCATACAGTTCCTGGTGACAAACAGAGCCTGAGTCAAAACCACAAAAAGGATGTGCTGGCGCCTGGGAAAATAGTTTTAAAACTAATAAGAGTCGAGCTCACTTGGTTTTATTCTGCTAGCCGGAAGGGCAAACGTGTACACACACACACACACACACACACACACACACACATACACACACACTCACATGCAAACTCAGCCCTGCACTTACTTTAACCTCACAATGGCACAAAAGCGACACACATTCAGTAGAGATCAGGCTTCACAATTTGCATTTTGATCTCTCTTTGAGGCAGCATACACAGTTTGGGACTCCCTCAGAATTCGGGCACCGAGCAGGGAGCCACGTTCCGCGTTAGCCACAAAAATCTCAAGGGCAGACAGCACGCACGCTCTGGAGGCCTTTGCTGCTAAGCTTCCCACTGTAGATGTATTTTCAGCTTACACGAGATTGTCACTACAAGGTAACACCGTCTCTCTCTCTCTCTCTCTCTCTCTCTCTCTCTCTCTCTCTGTGTGTATGCATGCACACGTGCGTGTTGATTCTGTTTTGCAGAAGACCCTGGCGAATACTCCACTGTGTCAATAAAGGAAAACAGATCTGACCCTGGCTTCTGGCACGAGAGCATGAGCAGTCATGCAGCCCCCAAGACGCTGTGAAGCCCGAGGCGCGCACACTCTACTTCTCTCTCTCAGAGTGCTCCACAGAGCCGCATGTTCCACACGTGGAGAGGAACCACTTCGTTGCTACGGCTGGGTGCTGGTTAACAATACAGGGACTGAGCACAAATCCCAGGTCTTCCGTGTCCTGGCTAGATTTGTTTGATGTTGTTTGTCGGTGAGAAGCAAGCTAGCTTCACCTGAGAAAATGCCTCTCTTGGATTACCTGCAGGTAGGTTTGTAGGCATTTTCTTGATTAATGGTTGATGTGAGAAATCCCAGCCCTTGTAGGCAGTGCCACCCTGGGCTGGCGGTGCTGGGTGTTAAAGGAAAGCAGGACGAGCCATGAGGAGCAAGCCGGTAAGCAGCCCTCTTCCATGGCCTGTGCATCAGCTTCTTCTGAGTTCCTGCCCTGCTCTGAGTTCCTGTCCTGACTCCCTGCAATGATCAACAGTGATCTGGAAGTGTAAACCAATCAACCCTTTCCTCCCCAACTTGATTTTTTGTCATGGAATTTCATTGCAGCAATAGAAACCCAGAAACATAACTACAACACTCCGTTATTTGGCCTGAACTCAAGCAGGGAGCTTTCTTCTGAGCCTCACTCTCCTTATCTGTAAAATGGGGGTCAAAATCCTAAAGTTGTATAAGAATTCAGTGGTATGTATGCCTAAGAAAAGCCTCTCGGGGGTGCTTGGCTCTTCCTGTAGGAACTCTTTCTAAGTTACTATTACTAACATTTCCTGGGCACAGGGACAAGTGTCAGGACAGCCATGAGCGTGCTGGGTGCCAGGACAGCGGCTAGCGTTTGAGAGTCACGTGGTGTTTACAGGTCCTACCTCAGGTTCTCTTCAGGGAAGTATGAAGAGCAGAGGCAGCTCCTTCCCTTCGAGAAAACACCTGAAATGCCTAGGGACTTAGCCCAGGCGCTGAGCACAGGCATAGCATGAGCCAAGCCCCAGGTTCGGTTCCCTGGCGACACACACACACACACACACACACACACACACACACACACACACGGCGCATCCTAACACACCTCAGCAGAAGAGGCTGCCCACTGATCAGATGAGGCCTGTCTTGGGGAAAACTTCGGGAAGGAAGCCTCAGCCGACTAACCTGAGCGTCCTGTTTCACAAGCGCATCGTCCAGGTAATTCCCCTCATCCCTGCCACCCTGAGGGGGAGACAAATAAGAGTGAGCAAGCACCCATGGAGATGCCAGGGGCCCTTAAGACAGCAGGCCTGGAAGCCCAAGGCACGGGAACGACATGCAGTAGGAGCTGGGTCCTCAGGGAAGGGGCTGAGACCAGCTTGCCCTAGGCCCCGGAAATGCTCCCAGCAGAGCGCGCCCTGCTGTGACTCCCGGTGTTGCAAGACTGTCTCTCCGGCAGAAGGGCAGTAACACATCCCCCCACACACACCCCCAGCCTTCATTCCCACCTCTGCACTGACCCAGCTGGCTCAGCCTTCTTAACTGGCCAGTCTTCAGTCACCAAGAGAATGCTGAACCTGAGGTGAAGAGCTGATACAATGCCAACCCCAAATAGATCCACCTCAGCAACAGAGGGCTAAGGGGCCCTATAGGAACACTAAGGAGTGACAGATAGGCACTGCCTTCCAGTTTGGTAGGCTATTCTTAAAAAAAAAAAAAAAAAAAAATTGTGTGTGTGTGTGTGTGTGTGTGTGTACAATCTGTACAAAGGTGCCTAAGAGGTCAGAAGAGGGCTCCTGGATCTGGAGTTACAGATGGTTGTGAACTCGGGGTTTACCTCAGGTCTGCCCTCTAGCCTTGCCTCAGCATAAACGTCTAAAGCACAGGAAGTGTCTCTCAATATCCCTGTAATCCGGTGCACTTAGCAACAGAGGTAGTAGGTACCAACTTGGAACATGTGAACAGTGAATTAAAGTAGAAGGAATGACTAGCCAGGGTCTCTGGAGGAGAAATAAGATACAGGAAGAGAGCGGCCGGAGAATGACGGCTGGGGAATACCCGTTTGGGAGGCTGGAAGGATGAAGGGCGGGTGAGAGAGATGGAGGGTGCACTCAATCGACTCAGTAGCCCTGTCAGAAACTGGGGTGGAGGAAGCCACGCACCGCGGACAGGGACACCAGGACTCGCTGGAACATGAAGGATGTGTCAGAGCAGATGTCGTCTTCAAGGCTCCTTCCGTATTCTACCAAGAAATTGAAAATGGGCATATCAGAACAGAGACCCGCCCGGCGCTGCCACGCTCTGGCGAGCTCTGTCCCTCCAAGCCAGCCTGCTCACTGGAGCAGCCCAGACCATGGTGCTGCCATGCGAGGTTCTCAAAAGCTGAACTCTGCGAGGCTCCAGCCTCCCCCAGGATCTCCAGGCAGTTAATGGTTGCCGGAGGATGGGGAGACAATGCCTTTATTGGCGTGAGCAGCAGTAAGGTACGTAACCCCTCAGCCATGCTCCTGTAGGCAATTCTAATGAAGCTCATGAACTCATAAAAACAACAGAAAAACTAGACTCTGGTGAAAATGACCCACATGCTCATCTGTCATAGTGGGAAGGGGCTGTCTCCTGAGCTGGTGGCAGGGCTGGAGTCCTTGCTTTCCTTCTGTCTGACACACTGCTCTGCGCATCTGAATGGAAGCTGTGGAAGGCTGCCAGCCTCACAGGACCGAAGCCCCCAGAGAGGTTCTAACAGATCTCCCCGAAGAGTGACCCCTTCGACAGCCTGCAGAGGCCACTATGGGGCCAGTGCCAGGGTCAGGGGGATAACTCCAAGTCCTGGGTGGGACTGCAGAAGCCAGGGAGGTCCTCGTGCTCAGATATAAGCACTAGGGGAACCAGGAATGTTAAACACAGGGCTGTTCCTTCAAACAGGGATGTATACCCTGGGACCTTCCCAGAGGGCTGCAAGCAGACCTGGTTAATATCCTGGTGACCTTTGTGCTATCTGTGTGGCCAGCCAGACTATGAGGGATCCTCCCCAGACCCTTGTCATGAGCTTGTCAATCTACAGAACTTATCTTTATGGGAGGTTTCACATGTACTCAGTCTGTGGACACATCTTTATGGAAGATGTCTCATGTACTTTGCACAGTTTTGATGTAGTCATATCTTAAGCTTTATCGTACACACAGGATTGAATTCATTATCACCAGGGAATTTTTCACCAAATTGTGCTATGTTTAAATATGACTAAAATAAACTACTTGGGGTCAAAGTTAGAACCAACACTTAGTCGTGTTCAACCAAACTGCCTTCTTGCCTCTCTCGGATTGTTATTTTGCTGGCTGTGGAGGTTGCAGAGAGCCTCATGGGGCTGAGGTCAGGATTAGGGAGCCAAATCCAAAACTTTCAGGGTTAGAGTGTAGCTCCAAATCCTGGGTGGGGCTGAGGTCAGGGTCAGGGGTCTAACTCCAGACTCTTAAAGTTTAGCTTCAACCTCTGAACACCAAGGAGGAGTCTCTACTGCATGACTGTTTTCTTCTCAGAAGTAATACACATTGACTAGGAAAATACAGGGATACAAGAGTTGGTGTGAGCCTAGAGCACTGACCTAGCTTGGGAGAGAGAGTCTGGGTTCCATCCCTAGCACCCTATAGCAGAAGTCTAAGATAAACGGGAGAAAACTGCACCATAACCTAATAGCTGAGAAATAATAGTCACTAGTCTTATTTCCAAGTCACAGGCAGCCCATGCCAGGGCTGGGAGGACGCTGCTTACGCTGCTGGTATGTCTGATTGATGCGACGGATCTCCTCAGGGGTACGAGAGGCCAGGATCTCAATCAGGCAGCCTTCATCTGTGCCAGCTCCCTAAATGCAAGGCCAGAGGTGAAGAGGGTGTGAGCCAGTGGATCAAATTAACATGTAATTTTTATGCACAGTTAAACAAACAGAACACAACTAAACTCGTAAATTAAAAACTGAGTCCCACGCTCAGAAAGAACGCAGGCACGCAGCTGCAGAGTGTAATGCCAGCACACCGGGATTCAGAAGCAAGGCCGGCCCAAGCCCAGCATGCTCACTGCAATCATTTTTAATAATGACACACACTTGCGGACCCTGAGTGCGCTCTATTGCTTGTCATAGCAGGTTAGGTGCGGTTTCTGCTCTCTGTGGTCCTGCTCTTTCCTCCGCCTCTGCTCTCTTTCTCTGAAGGTCAGAATGTTCTGGCAAAGACGTTGTGACCTCCCTGTTTCCTCAGGGCCTAGCCCAGAACCTTCCGAAAGGTGTAGGGTTTATGGATAAGCAAAGGAAGGTGGCTATGGTGTCATCCAGACTCACTTGCTGCCAACCAGCTATAGAGACCGCATGTGCACGCCTGGCACCTGGGGCACGCCTGGTACAGCCAGTCCCTCTCCAATCAGCCCCAGGAAGGAGCAAATGACTCAGCAGATTTGGGGGAAGCAATTTTTCAATGACAATTGCCATCCATGTTTCACGTTGTCAAGAGGGAAAAACCTGTCTCTCATCCTCTCTTTTCTGCCCATCTCTGAAGGGCTTGGCCATAGTTTTTTTTGTTTCATTCTTTTTATCCTAAGATTTTACGTTATGTGTGTGTGGGTCTGTGCCCGTGAGCCCAGTGCCCAAGGGGCCCAGAAGAGGATGTCAGACCCCCTGGAGCTGGAGGTACAAGTGGTTGTGAGCTGCCCGACGTGTGTGTTAAAGAACACGCTGCAGTCCTCCAAGAGAGCTGTAAACACTCTTAACCACTGAGCCGTCTCTCCAGCGGCACTGGCCGCGTTTCCGAGGGACAGCACCTCACCCTGTGCCCTGAGGACACCAAGAGTGCAAGGGGGACCGCTGACCTTCATGGCCCTCCGCAGCTCCTGCACGTCATAGAGCACCGTGGGCGTCATCAGCCCCAGGATCACCTGCTCAAAGTTGCTGCTCAGCTCCGACTTCAAGTCATCGAGCAGGTCCTGCAAGGAGAAGCGTCTCTCAGCTGCTGTGGTCACTCATGCCAGCCACTCTTTAAGGGGATGTCTCGGGCCGGACCACTCTGTCACACCAGAAGGCTGTTAAATACCTCCCGCTTTTCCAACTGTCTGAGACCAGATTTTATTTATTGACATCAGCCAAAACCACACAGTACAGCAATGGAGGAGAGTGTGGCCATTTCCCATTAAGCCAAACTTTGGTGGGATTTGTAAAACAATGCCAGTTTTCTCACTGAATTTTGTTTTGTTGTTGTTGTTCTCGTTAGCTTTTATTTTGGAATGCATATCTACCTTTCTCTTTTTTAAGTTTGTAATTACATTCATTTCTTCACGGGCAGAGATGTGCTGCAGCGTACAAGTGGAGGTCAGAGGACAGCCTGAGGGAGAGGGCGGGACCAAACTCGGGAGGCTGAGCCGGGCAGCACTTCTGCATATTTAGCCCTCTCACTGGCCCTGCAGTTTTGTTTGTGCATATGTGTGTGCACACACATACACATAACATACGTGTGTTTGCGGGTCTGTACCTGTGTATAGGTACATGTATGTGCTTGCATGCACACACAAGTGTGTGTGTGTGTGTGTGTGTGTGTGTGTGTGTGTGTGTAAAGGCCAGCTGTCAATGTCTGGTGTCCTCCTCGATTGCTCTCTACAGCTGACGTTTCTCACCGAACCTGGAGCTCACTGATTGGGTGGGTCAGGTTGGTTGCCAACAAGCCTCCTCCCCGGTGCTGGGATTTTATAGATGGCTTCTAGCATGCATATATATATATATATTTTTTTTTAACTGTGTAGCCCAGGCTGGCCTCGAACTCGTGATCCTTCTGCCTCTGCCTCCTTCAGCAAATCCTACCGGTGTGCGCCACCACAACCGGCTAGCATGCATATTTTTAAAAAAGATTTTATTGATTTATTATGTATCCGATGCTGTTTGCACGTACACCTGTATGCCAGAAGAGGGCACCAGATCTTATCATAGATGGTTGTGAGCCACCATGTGGTTGCTGGGAAGTGAACTCAGGACCTCTGGAAGAGCAACCAGCACTCTTAACCTCTGAGCCATCTCTCCAGCCCCTGGCATGCATATTTTTTATGATAAATCCGCAAATGTGGATTGACTGAATGCGCGAATGGATGAATTAGAAGTGCATTCTTCTTAGAGCACCAGAGGTTAGCTGGGCTCTGAGGTTAGCTGGGCTCTGAGGTCAGCTGGGCTCTGAGGTCAGCTGGGCTCTGAGGTCAGCTGGGCTCTGAGGTTAGCTGGGCTCTGAGGTCAGCTAGGCTCTGAGGTTAGCCTCCAGCGTATACTGCAGCGCCAGTTAGATGGGCAGCTCACACTTCGCTTGACTGTCCGTCAGTGCTGCTCCTCATTCTGTCTCCCCAAGGGTGGAACAGCCTACGGGGCTCTGGAGACAGTCTTGGTGACCGTCTGTCCATTCCCTACGGGAGTGCCCAGAGTTCACCTGTGGACGCTCTGGAGAGCAGCTAGTCAGCTCTGCCCTGCCCATCCCTCCCCACCTTGCCCAGCAGTGTGGGGCCCTCATGAGAAGCAGCTTTAATCTTCCTGGCTGTGATATCTCCCAAGATGCATTGGACCCGAAGTCACTGGGCGCCGATGGACAGAGGCACTCTTCGGCTGGTTCCTCCTCTAAGGTTCTCAATAAATACGCACAAGGGTTGGGGTGCTTTTCATGGTCATGTGAAAAGATTGAGCTGAGTAATTCTGCTGAAGAAGTCATTGTAAACAGAGACAAGATTTGGGATCTGGACAAAATCTGAAGCATGCCGGGGGAACAGTGAGTTTATAAGCGGCCATGCACGTGCATGCAATTACACAGAAAGCCCCACTCACCAGAGAGTGAAGGGTCTAGAATTGAAGGTCTCTTGAGCAAAGGAGTGACGTCTATCTAAACCTGTTTTTATATGGAGGAGCCATGGCACTAAATTCCAGGAAATTACAGTGAAGATGAACTAGACTTTTTCTAACTATTTCAATCAGGGGTCTTCAACCTCAGGCCCTGAGGAATAGCTCTGCAGGTACACCTGGTACTTCACAGTGCTTCTGGTTGAGCACACACAACACACAAGGACTTGGGTGGGAAGGAACCCGGCTTAGCCTTGAGCCTTTGGGTCGACAGCTCCCTAAAACATGGGGTCTCAAGTATTGAACTCAGGGAATCAAGTTTAGGGGCAAGAGCCTTTACCCGTTGAGCCATCATTTTACATCATTCTTTTTAATGAACGCACACTTGTAATACTAATGGGCTCAGTGTGGCATTTCCAGAACATGTAGTAATCAAGGAAAGTGGCACCCCTGTGGCCTCAGATGTTTGTCATCTGTGTTAGGAACATTCAAAGTCCTCTCTACTCGCTATTTTGAAGTATTCTATTACCTGTCACCCACAGTCACGCTACCATGCTACAGAGCCTTAGGAGTCATACTCTCCTTTGCCACTCCCCTGTACCCATTGTCTTTTCTCTCTCCCTCACGTCCTCCACGGTCTTCCTAAACTCTGGTAACCCCTAACTTCACAGATCATCTTAAGGTTCTGGGTCACTTCATGAGTCTAGCTGGGGTTGGGGTGGGCAAGGGAGCTCTGCTTCCAGGACGCCTGACAAACCCCTGGTCACCTGCAAGGTCAGGAGAGACGGGGCCTACCCTGCCGATGTTGCTCTTGTAGGCAGTCCTGATTTCCTGGCGCTGGGCAGTGTTTCGGTAGGCCAGGACTCCGATAATGGCATCTTCATCAGTACCTGGGGACAAGATGGAGACAGCAAGGGGCAGTGATTGGCTGGCATGATAAAATGGTCCTCCCGTGACTGGAGTTACCTCACGAGGGCTGAATGTTTGATAAGAAAAGAAAGCAAGAATGGCGTTTGCCTATAACCCCAGGAAGGTCGAGGCAGGAGTTCATCTCACAGCTGGATATTGTTGTGTTTGCGGAATTTTGTTTGTTTGTTTCTTTATTTGTTGGAAAAAACAGCTGGAAGATGGGGATGGTACCGCAGGGAGAAAGTTTTAGATGTGTGAGTTCAGTCATTCTACACAAGCTTAGAGATCCAGGAAAAGGTGAGATGGAGACTTACAGAACTCCCAAATGCAGCCTTCACTGCTCTGCGCCAGAAGAGCCCTGCCTGCTTTGAACCCTCAGATCAACTTTGAGTTTTTAAAAAGATGCCCTGCCTTCCTCCAGAAAGATCTTCCAAGCCATGCAAACTGTGGCCCTCCTACCTTCGCTGGACCCACACCTGCTTTTAACGCATCCATTACCACAGGCATTAAGGATTTTTCCATAGGTCTGTAAAAACATTCTAACTACATTCTTCTTTGGCAGCTAGGCTCATCTTTCCTCATAGAGAAACTCACAGCTCATCCCTTGCCTGCTCAGAAACTTGTAATGGCTCCCTGGGGTCAGCTGGGGTCACAGGGCTGCCCTCTGGGCACTCTGCCTTCTCCCGCTCTCTGAGGTCTGTACCCACAGACAAGGAGAGTGGGCAGCCAGGCGTATAGTTTCGCTCTTTTTTGTTTGTTTGGGGCTTTCCTATGTAGCCCGGGCTGATCCTGGACTCTCAATCCTCCTGCCTCCCCAAGGTGGGGATTCCACATGTATGGTGTACCCTGATCAGCATCTGCTCTGGAGTATCTCTGCCTTTCCTGCTGGCACTGTTGATCACTCTCCCAAACCCTCCATGACCACCAGCCTAACCATTTGCACGTGCCCCCCATTTAGCATACTAATTCTGATACCTGTAGTTTCCTGGCTCCTGTCTCATGGCCACCCCTCCATGGCTGTAATTCAGTTGGCTTTCTTGGGAGCCTTCCTAGGACCTCCCTTTAGGACCTGCCTCCTCCAGAAGCTCCCCCTGCTTTGCAGCTTTTTGGAATGCACTGTGATTGCTCCAAGCCTCAGCTCAGCTCAGCTTCCTGAAACATATTCTCTTTTTCAGTTTATTAAAATTTGACTCACCCCCTCCCAAGGGCATCTCAAATTCCACACCTCCAAGGTTTGCCTGGTGATCTGCATGAAAGTGAGCGCCTCTCATCGAACCACAGTTTGTTTGTTTTTGTTTTTTTTTGGGGGGGGGTTGTTTGTTTTTTAAACAGATTTGTGCATCCAAGCTGTCTTCAACTGTGAACTCCTAATCCTCCACCTTTACTGGGGGTCAAACACAGGGCTTTGCAAAGGTTAGGGAACTCTATCAACTGAGACACAATTCTAGCCCCACAGAAAGTACTTACCCATGCCTGGCAATGTTTTAAACTTTATTTTAAAGTGTGTGTGTGTGTGTGTGTGTGTGTGTGTGTGTGTGTGTGTGTGTATACATGTGTGCATGCATGCTTGCAGGTGCCTGCAGAGGCAAGATGCATTCCATCCCTGGAGCTGGAGTTACACACAGTTGGAAATTGCCTGATCAGGGTTCTGGGAAGAAAACTTCAATACTCTGAAAGAACAATTCATGCTCTTAACTGCCGAGCCATCTCTCCAGCCTTCCTATGCACCCTTAGCTGTACTACCCCAGCCAGCACCCATGAACTCCTGACCACCAGGACTAGGTTTTACAATCCTTGTCTCCTCCAAAAGCTTACCTCATCAGCCCCACATCAGCAGGCCCTGAAAAGGGCCTGGTCATGCCAAATGTGTCCTGATTCTTTGCCTTGGGGATTCTGGACACTTTTCTCCACACTCTGGACTATAACACTCTTGTAACACTCAGAATTAAAATCAGACCAAAGGAAATGGTGGTGGGCCCTACCTCATATTTTCTACATATTTACACAAAGAAAAACGAGAAGGCTGCATATGTTCAGGACAACATCCTTTCAGAGGTGAGGCAGGGTCACGGTGCACAGACAAAGCTAGATTGTCGGAGGTTGCCCATCTGCAGTTTCCCAGACTCACAGGTTCTGACGGCCTTGGGACGTCGGCTCACCTCCCCGAATCCCTTCATCTCCCCACATCCCCCCACTCCCCACACCCTGCTTCCATGAACAGGCCCTTGGGATTAAAAGCCAGCAGTCCCCGTGAATCCTTTGCCTTGATATTAGCCAATAATTGCCGCGCTGGTAGTTGTTAGCAGCAGACAGTCTAAGGAAAATGGATATGAGATAGAAAGACTTAGGAACGAGGTCTCATTGCCAAGTGTCTTTACCCAAATCTCAGAGATTCTCAATGACAACTAGGAACTGGGGATACTTCTCTCTCTACATGTCCAACGGGCAAAGCCTTGAGACAGAAATCTGTCCAGAGGGGCTGGCAGTGTACCCTGTACAACTGGACCTGCCCTCAGGAAGACAAGTTCATGGCCATGCCCTGGCACACATCCCTGCCTGCTCACATACAACCCCCGCCTGCATGTCAGCACTGACTCAGCTGCACAGTCAAAGTAGCAGCCCCAAACAGAGGCAGAACAGGAGGTGATGGAGCACTTAAGAGGCAGGACTGAAGAGCGGGAAGTTAGGCCTTTCGAAGACATACTCATAAATCATTTACTCCTGGCCCCTCTTTTCTCTCTCTCTCTCTCTCTCCTCTAGAAATAATATGAATTACTTTCTTCTTGATGTGCTCTCTAATCACAGGCCCCAAAGTAATGAACCAGCCAACCTGGATTTGATATCCCCAAAGCTGTGATTCAAAATGAACTTTTCCCCTTTCTCAAAAAGAGAAAGATGATTAAGATGATTATCTTGGGTATTTTGTTATAATAACAGAAAACTCAGTACAATCACACCCTCTCATCCAAATTGTCTTGAGTAGAAAATCTGTTACCATCATTGTTGTTCTTGTTTTTGATGTTGTTTTGTAGTACAGGGTATTGAGCCCAAGGGCCTTGAGCATGCTATGCAAACCACTCTACCAACTGAGCTATATCACCAGCTATCTCCCCATCATGTTTACCTAAAAGGTGACCTTTTAATGAAAACCCTGCCCACGGTACCTTCTTCAGGACTGTGTGTGACACACCACATTCAGGACCGTTCGCACCCAGAAAGATGCTTACCAAGTCCTTTCATGGCCTTCCTCAGGGCCTGGGCATCTTCAACTGCATTGAATCCTGAAGCAGCTTTCACGGTTCCTCCTTTGGTTGCCTGAGTGCACAGAAAATGGCATGACTGACAGGTGACCTCTCATTCAGAAGCCCAGGCTCTACTCTAGGTGCCAGGGCAGCAGCTGCAACCACAAAGGGTGAGGCTGTCACTCTGGAGCCTTCTCTGGGGAAGGCAGGCAGAGAGCACACCAACAAATACACATCACATAAACAGCCTGGTGTGAGAGGTGCCTCGAAGTAAGTGGAGTCCTGAGGGGCTGCAGGAAGGACTGCCATTTAAGCCGAGTGATGGTTCCTGCGAGGCATCTGGCCATTCAACAATGAAGGGTGAGGGTGGGGGTGCTACAAAGCAAAGGCTCTCCCAAAGGCCCCAGGGCCACAGCTAGCTTTGAGGAAGCTAGGAACCAGTGGGAAGAAGTTGGTCTAAGAGAAATCACACAACCTCCTGTAAAGCAGTCTTTAAAAAAAAAAAAAAGGTATGAATTCAGTCAAATTCACATCTGTAGAGCCCAAAACCAACTTGCTGTAAATATAACGCACAGGAAATGCCAAATCAATAATGTAGCTTCTTGAATGGACAAACCGCCAGGGAGATTGGAAGAGAGAGGAAGAAGGAAGTGACAGTTCAAGAGGTTAAAAAGACACGTCAACCTCCAGCTGGGCGTAGTGCTGCACACCTGTCGTCCCGTCCAGCCCTTGGGAGGCTAATGTAGGAGAATCAAGAGTTCACGACAAGCCTCAGCCACATACCAGGTTCAAGACCAGCATAGGCTAGAGGGAAGCCCTGTCTCCAAAACCTAAACCCCAAACCAAACAAACACAAGAAAAAAAAAATCACAACAGTTCTAAGACACTGGATGTTTGATGTTTCATGGCACAGGGAGTCAGTTCTAAGATGCTCTGGCCTGACAGCTTTGCTAGGCTGTGACTGCGGCTTACATCCTCAGGTTCACCTTTATACAGCTGACTCACAGGAGGATAGTATCTGCTTCAGAATAAGGGTGGAGGAAGTGCAGATAAAGAAGACAAAAACGGAGTCCGAGTTAGTAATTAAACAAAATGGTAGGAAGCTAGTTAGACACAGGAGGCTGGGGGGGTCACTGAAGAGAGAGGCCCTCTCTCGTCAGCTTCTCACCCAACTCAGGGTCCCTGTTAATCCACTAGGTTTCAGGGAAAGGGGATATGAAATCACCCCCCTTTAAGATGTAAAACATCAAACGAAGGAACAGCAACAGATGGACAAACCAGGGAGGGAGACGAAGCAAGGCTGGTGAAGGCCTATCAAACAGCTGCTCTTTCCTCCTGGCAAAGACGGCAATTTTTAAATGTATGTAGGTATTCACGTGTGAGCGTGCAAGCAGAAGCCAGCACTGCCGTCAGGGTTTCTTCAGCTACTCCATCATGTTTTCTAATTTAAAATTTTATTCCTGTGTATCGTGGGTGGGTGCCCAGGAAGTCCCGAAGACGGAGGCAGGTCTTTTGGAGTAGGAGTTGGAGTTGGAGTTGTGCGCCGCCAGCTGTGGGGGTTAGGAGCTGAACTCAGGACGCTTCAAGGGCAACAAGAGCTCTTAACCTCTGAGCCATCTCCCCAGTACCATTTTTTGTTTGTTTGACACAGGCCAGGACCTCTCACTGAGCTCACTGATTGGCTAGACTGCCTGGCCAGCAAGCCCCCAGGGTTCTGCCTGTCTCTGCCTCTACCTGCATTACAGCACACATTGGGGCACCTGCTTCTTACATGGGTGCTCAAGCTTGTATGGCAAATACTTTACCGGCTGAGCCATCTCCCCACCCAATGTGAATAATGTATACTCACATTAACATTAATATTATATCATATTACATATAATTAATGTTAATTATATAATATATAATATGTTATATTATGTATAGATTATTTTTCCTTTTTGAGATGACAGACAGAGTCTCTAGTCCAGGCTGCCCTGGTCTTGAAACGAAGATGACCTTGAACTTCTGACCTTCCTGCCTCCAGCTCCTGAGTGCTGGGATACCAAGGGCGGGGCAACACACCTGGTTTACGAGGCTCTGGGGATTAGGAGGACCAGGCTCAAAGTTGCACAGAGTTTACGCAGGCTGCTGTGGAGTTAAGAGGTTAGGCAACAGTTCAGGCTAAGGCTGCAAGTGGGAAATGATGCTGGTCAGGGTGAAATAAGAAAAGGTTGAAGCACGTAGTCAGACTCCACAGTTTTTTCGAGTGAAGGCTGCATTATTTGCTGTTGGATTAATGTGGAAGTGAAGGCAGAAAAAAAAAATCAAGGATGGCTCCAAGTTTCGGAGCAATACTGAGAGTGGTGTCACTTATTCAGAGTGGACACCAAGGCAGGCTGTCGGATGTGACATGACGGGGGGTAAAACTTCAGCTTTTCAAATACTGCCTGTCGGGCATCCATGCTCAGCACCCATGTACAGTGGTCCACAGAACAAGTCTAGAGGTCAACCTAAAATAGCACATTTAAGGTACAACAGCACTGGGTGAGCTTGCTGAAACACCACAAGGAGAAGTGATGTGCGAGGGCAGAGGTACTGGGACCGGCCTGGGTTTCTCAGTCCGGATACACCCAGCAGATCCTGACAGCCCATCAAGCACAGTTGAGAGGAGTCTCCCCCCCCTGGAGATATAGGGAACCCCACAATGGGGGGCAGAGGAAGTGGCCAGCGGCTGCTTACAGCAGAATACAACAGTTAATACTGCCACGCTGTCAGCCTGACAACACCTAGAATCATGTCACAGAGAAAACTCGGGAGATGCCTATGCCATTCCATGGCGGCCTGGGCAGAAGAGAGCTGAGAACCTGCATCCAGCAATGGTCCTCACCACCATCACCACCACAAATTACCATCATCTCCATCATCATCACAAACACAACTGAGGCACAATGCCTCATAAAATATAGTAGTGCCATTCTTTGATCTCTCTTATGCTGTTTATTGACACAAGCCAGCGGGCTGCTGCTGGAGATGAAATCAGATCTAGCATTTGTATAAGCTGACAAGGACAGTGTGGGACAGAGCCAAGGGTGCTCATGATTTATTTAATCTGATATGAGGACGTGAACAGGCCACCTAAGGGAGGACAGGAGCTTTATACTCTACAGTCACTCTCACAAGCCCGAATTGAAGCCTGTATGCCAGGCCACTCTGCACTCTCCAGACCCACTGGAAGTCCTCATCTGCCATGAGGCATAGGCCTCAGCTATCTCTACTCAGATGTCAGTAACTCCTGCATGCCCAACCGAGGTCAGGAGACATCAACTCCTAGCACCGCCAGTTTTCACGTCCTAACCCTCAGGACCTCAGAGCATTCCCTCAGCTGGAAGGTGGCTGCTGCAAATGTATGGTGTCAGAAAGAGGTGCTGGTGCAGAGCGGGCCCTGGCCCCAACGTGGCTGGTGTCCTTATGAAGAGAGAGACCACAGGGCATGTGGCAGTGAGGGCAGGCAGGGCAGCGCATATGGCAGGCGCTCTACCCCAAGCTACACCCTCGGCTTTCAGAATGAGCGTTTCCTGAGGTTCTGTGGGATTCCAGTATTGAAAGTTTCTGGGTGGTTCTCAAACACTGAGTGAAAGTTGAAACTACACTGCTGACGAAGCTGATATAAGATGAAAATTAATGTCTAACAAGAGGAATCGATAGAAGGGTTTGCAAGGATGGTTATTTACTTATTAACATTCCACACAACTCTTCCTTATTCTAGAGGAAAGGTTAGAGCCTTTTCCCTTGCTATTCTGATGAGTGTGTCTGTATTGATCAAATTCCGGGGCACAATGCACAATTATCTTTTCAAGGACGATGGGAAGGGATGGCGTCCATCCATGACAGGAAATCTTGTAGTGGCAACAAGGGAAACATCGCTGTGCTGGCTAGTTTTATGTCAGCTTGACTGACACAAGCTAGAGTCATCAGAGAAGAGAGCTTCAAATGAGAAGATGCCCGTATAAGACCAGGTTGTAGGGCATTTTCTTAGTTAGTTATTGATGGGGGAGGGACCAGGCCATTGTGGGTGGTGTCTTCTCTAGGCTGGTGGTCCTGGTTCCTGTAAGAAAGCAAGCTGAAGCCAGGTACAGTGGTGCACACCTGTAATCCCAACACTCAGGAAGGCAGAGCCAGACTCTGTGAGTCTGAGGCCAGCCTGGTCTGCAGAGCAAGTCCAGGACAGCCAAGGCTACACAGAGAACACCTGTCTCAAAAACAAAAACAAAAACAAAAACAGAAAGAAAGACAGACAGCAGGCTGAGCTAGCCACGAGGAGCCAGCCAGTAAGCAGCACTCTCCACGGCCTCTGCATCAGCTCCTGCCTCCAGGTTCCTGCCCTGTGTGAGTTCCTGCCCTCACTGCTTTTGATGATGAACTGTTATATGGAAGTGTGTGTGGATTAAACCCTTTCCTCCCACCATGTTGCTTTTGGTCAGGGTGTTTCATCACAGCAATAGTAACCTCTACTAAGACAGTCACAGAGGAAAGAAGGACAAGTGAACGCTAGAAGTAGGGGCCATGCTACAACTGAGAAAACGGTATTGCTATTATAGCAACAGGGAAGATGTGCAGATGAGAAGGCTCGGAGTATAAGACGATGAATAGTGCTGGGCACTGAAAAGGACCGCAGGTGCAGCCACACGGATGCAGCCACACAAGTACAGCCACGAAGGTGCACTGAAAGACAACAGTGCTCAGAGGAAGAGGTCAGCATTCACACGCTGACTCAGCCACCTACCTATTCAGAACCTCTTTGAGTGGGGAGAGCAGGTGGGCCAGCCTAAAGCAGCACAGATCAGCTTCTGCCTCTGTGCTGAACTTCACATAACTCCCAATGGGACCCAAGCCCAGACCTGTGTCAAAGACCAGATCACTGAGTCCCGAGAAACCTGATTACAGCTGTAAGCGGGAAGCAGATGGCAAGTGGGGACTGCTAAGGAGCACCCCTCTAGGGTGCTCAAGATGGCTCAGAGGGTTATAGGATTCTTGTCATTTAAGCCTGATGACTAGGGAACCCACGTAATGACAAGAAAGAACTAACTGCACAGAATTGTCCTATAACCTCCACACAAATGGCATGTGCTCTCTGTCCCAAAATAAAAAGAAAACATCCTTCCTGGTGATCCTACGATGATGGGCTGTCCTGAGTGATCCCCTGCAGATGGCAGGACATGGCTTTCTTCTGAGTTTGCCTAATTGTTCTGAAGTGGACAGTTCTGTTTTGCAGAGAGAAATAGCATTACTTGTTTCTACATCCTCAGGATGTTAGGCATGGGAGGGAGTCTGTGAATTGATTTTCAGGGTCGAGCTACCACTTTAAAATAAATTTAAATGATGACAGAAGTGGATGGGGGGAGAAAGGGCCAGGCTAGGTGGTGCAAACCTTTAGTCCTAGCGCTTGGGAGGCAGAGGAAGGCAGAGCTCTGTGAGTTTGAGGTCCATGTAGTCTACATTGTAAGTTCCAGGACAGCCAGGACTATGTAGAGAGACCCTGCCAGAGAGACAGAGACTGTGAAAGATAAACAGACAGAAAGAGAGACACACACACACACAGATAGAGAGAGAGAGAGCTGCCTTATCATGTCTTCCTGCCCACTGCTGAACAAACAGAGTTTTGTTTAAGCTACCTAAGTACACAGCTTGTGCCTGCCTGTGGCTGGCACCACGTGGTTGAAGCACTTACCATGGCTGCAAATCAGTTTCAGAGTTCAGTCACCCCCGCAGAAGCTCCTGTGAGAAAAGCAGAAGAGAAATTACTGTGACCAGGGATGTGGCGTTAATTGTCAGTTAGGTTTCCATGTTTGCATGAAGCTGAGCCAAGAGGAAATGATACACGATTTCGTCAAAAGGTCACCTGTGGGAGAGCCAGAGCTCCCGGACCAGGCTAATCATTAAGGAGATGTGAGCAGTTGGGTTTATTACGCCAATAACATGCTTCCTAATTGTGCTTCTGTTTGGAGACGCACTGAGCCATTGTGCTGCCTGGTTGGGTGAAGAGCTGTTGGTGACCCTCAGGACAGATAGGGGTTCTGAGCTGTACACTCCTGCAGGTCAGAAGAGGGCGAGAAGAGACAAGCCATCTGAGTCAGGAAACCAAGGCACTCAAGACTGCCCACTGTGTGCGCATACACGTGCGTGTACGTGTATGAATGTGTTCGCATGTGCCTGCCTCCTCTGCCTGTGTAATCAGGTATGTGTGCACGTATGTACCTGCATCTGCACAGACACGTGTTTGCATCCAGGTCTGCATACATAATGTGCAGATATCCTTCTGAGCGTCTTTACAACCCACCCAGCACTGGACTCTGCTTATTCCCAGATGCTGTTTTTTTCCCTCCTTCTCCTGTACTCTTCCTCCTCTTCCTCCTCCTTCTTATTCTTCTCTCCCCCATCCCAGGGTGCAAGGAACTTCCCTTCACTGATACCTCACATATTCACCCTTGTCCTCAGTTTCCAGTTCCCCCTCCTTCATCAGAAAAGCCTGAGTGCGAGATTTTTACCAGGTGCTCACTTTCTTTCGTGGGGTTCTCTTATGAGGATTAGGCTTACTGCCTCTGGTTCCCATATCTAAGTCATGTGGACAGCGCACCTCAGCACGCACAGAGCCATCCTGGAAACAATGGTTTGGACATATGGAGCCTGTGACAGAAGCGGAAGCAGCTGGGTGGAACACGCTTGTAGTCCCATAACTCAGGAGGCTGAGCTCAAGGCCAGCCTGGGCCTCACAGTGAGACTCTGTCATAAGAAAACACACAGCAGGTCCAGCATGTAGCTCAGTTAATAGATGCTCATGCAGCACGCAGGAACTCTGGGTGTGAGCCCCAGCATGGAACAGAGCCAGGCACGGTGGTGTGAGCCTGTAATCCTAGCTCATGGGGGCGGGAGGGCAGCAGGAAGATCAGGAGTTAAAGGTCATTTTCAGCTACACAGTCACTTTGAGGTCAGCCTGAGATGCCTGAAACCCTGTCTTTAAAAAAAAAAAAAAAATCAAATAACAACTTGAATCAGTAAAACTAAACATTAGCACTTCTAAACTAAAGCAAGGGTCTTAAGAGATGGCTCAGTGGTGCCTATTGCTTTTGCAGAGGACCGGAGTTCAGTTCCCAGCATCCAGGTTGGGTGGATCACAGCCATCTATAACTCCAGTTACAGGGGAATTGATACCCTCCTCTGGCCTGCCAGGGCACCTACACAGTGACGTTATACACACACACACACACACACATAAAATAAAATGAAGAGAAATTAAAGCAAGATTTTATTAGCTAGTGACTGGTGGAGTTATGAATCATCTCATTCATCTAGCATGTTCATGAAGCACCTCTGTACAGTACTGCTTCTAATTTATGGATAACACAATGGACACCACAGAGAGCCTGCTCTCAGTGAGCTCATGGTCAGCCAGGATAGACAGGAAAAAATAAAGATAATTTCAGATCCCGGTAAGATGAAAATATAACACAGGAAAAACAACACAGAGCAGAAATCAGCAAAGCACATGAAAGATCACAGGTCTGATTCTGCCTCTGTAGCCATTTTCGAACAAAGGATGAAGGGCAGGAAGGGAAGGAGGAAGAGGACGAAGATGATGCAATCATGGTATGTAAAGATTTTTATGACATTCAGGCTTCAGGGAGAACAAGTTTGTCTCACATATTGTCTTTGGCTTAAAGGTACCTTCTTCCATAGTGAACTGTAGCCAAACCTATACTTGTAACAAACAGCTGAGTCCCAGCCAGTTACAAGCAGTGACTGCTCTGACTGTCTTCTGATGAGACAGATGAGAGCTGTGGCCACTCAGGTTGTCTCTTGTAGCTCACTTCCCTTTTCTGTCCATCACTTCCCTTCCTTTCTTCTGGTTTGAAGTAAACCTGGTGCTGTAGAATGGGCATATGATGGTCCCTGGTCTGGGCTCTGGCCTGGTTCCAGGATCACAAGCACAGCCCACGGAGGTGTGCAAAGCTAGCTTCCTTGCTCATTTGTCTTTAACGTGAATGCTGTTATGAACAGGGTACCAGGAAGGAACAGGCCTGATAGGATAGCCCAGAAGCACCTCTGAGGAAATGCCATCTAAGCTGAGGGAAGAGCCCCAGCTGTCCTTAAACTCCATATATAGTCAAAGATGACCTTGAATTGACCCTCCTGGCTATAACACCATACCCCCCCCCATTACAACCCCATATATCTGGTACTGAGGATTGAACCCAGAGCCTAGTGCATCCTGGGCAGGCATCCTGCCTACTGAGGTACAACACCAGCTCAGCTGAATGAGGCGCCACTGAAGGGTAGAGGCAGCCTCTCTGATCCAAGTTCCAAGAGAGAACTTCCAGGTGGAGGGAACAGTTGTGAAAAGCCCCTGAGGCAGAAATGAGCTAGTGTGGCCAGTGACTCTATGGATCATAATAAGACACCCATAAAAGGGAGGGGAGCACAGGAAACCGCACCCCCATCCATTCCCCCACACCTGCCCTCTGTGCTTGCTTCTGAGACTCATCTTTTATAATCATGATTCGTTCAGCAAACTCGTGGCCTGAGTTCTGCAAGCCATTCCTGCAGTCAAACACAGGAGCCCTGGGATCCCATGGTTTATTGCCTGTAGGACAGAAGCACTTCTTGGGCTTGGGGATGGCATGTGGCATGGGCAGTGTGATGGGACAGAGCCTTTAGCCCTTAGCGGTATTGGAATTGTGTTGAGATGAAGGGTACCCACTTGGAATCAAGAAAGAACTGAAGAGTTGCTTGGTGTGAGAACCCACCACCCCCACATTCTGGAGCCTGGCACTCAACTGACAGGTTGAATGAGAAAGAACGGCCTCAGGAACACTCCCAGAGCCCAGGTTTCTCTAGCCTTCTCCGCCCCTCTAGTCTCTTCCCAGTTTGACTTTCCCAAAGTCAGTCATGAAAACCAGGCTTCTAGAGTACCCCACCTCCAAGTAAGCCATAGGGCTCAGAACCTTGAGTCAACTTTTCCTGTGTTTCAGAGTAAGAGCTGCCCATAAGGAAATTCTCTTATCTCTTTTATCTGGCAGTAAATCATGTGAGACTCACAGAAGATGGCTCTTGCACCACACTCAGGAAAAAGGAATGCAGCAGAGTCCAGGAAACATCCCAGCAAGAGGTCTTGCTGGCTCTCCCACTGAGATAATGACCACTGATCAAGCCTTCTTCACACCCATCCATTCTTCACGGAACCTAAACGTAAAATCAGAATTTTCCCCAGGCCGGGCGTGACAGCATATACCTTTAATCCCTACTGCTTAGAAGACAGAGGCAGGCAACACTCTCTGAGTTTGAGAGGAGCCTGGTCTACATAGTGAGTTCTAGGACAGCCAGGGCTACACAGTGGGACCCTGTCTGAAAACAAAACAAAACAAAACAAAACAAAAACAAAAAACAAACACACAAAACTCAGAATTTTCTTTGGGTATTCAGGGTCTTCATTTATGAAGACTTGAACCTCATATAGAACTTGGGTTAAATAAATGTGCTGAGCCTGAGTCACACTTCTTGTTATAGGGCTGTTGGCTCTATCACATCTCTCTGCACTGTACTATCTGGCATCAGATGTGAAGAGTTCAAGGCCAGCATGGGTTACATGAGATTTTGTATCAAAAACAAAAGAAAAAACAGAAATGAAAGCAAGAGCTCTGGGGAGACACAAGACAGGACTTAAGAGCCTGAGCTTAGTCTCCAGAGCTCATGCATGAAGAGGTGCCGGCACTAGGACAGCAGAGACAGGCAGGTACTTGGGCGCCATGGCTGGCTAGCCTATTCTACAGGGTTGATGAAAAACCCTGTCTCAGAAAAAGGGTGGGCAGTACTGGAGGAACAATATAAGAATTTGTCTTTTGACCTCCACATGAACACACACAAATAGGGAGCTATTGAAATGAAAAATTAGACCATGAAGCCCGTTTGGCTGTGAACCTCAGAGGCACTTCTGGGGTAAAAGTTATGCTTGGAAGGGATGAAGCACTGATGAGAACTCTGATCTGCAGATATCACATGTAGGAGGAGGGCCAGGCTGAGAACGCTGACACTCGGGAGAGCAGATTTTCCCAGTGGACTGCAGGGAACCCGCTGTGAGGCCTGACTGCCCTGAGGAAGAAGGACAGTCCTTCTCTCCACATCAGTGTCTGCAGAACACAGTAAACAAAGTAGCTGTTGGGCTGGGTATAAAAGCCACGTGATTGCTGGGACAGTCACCCTACCTGATACGCGTCACCAAGTTGAGCCCCTGCTTATAGGAGAACATAAACACAGGCGTCTCTAGCCCAGGCTGGCCTTAAACTCCTTATGTAGCTGGGCTGGCTTTGAACTTCTGATCCTCCTGCCTCCTTCCCTGACATGTTGAGATTACAGGCATACACCTCCATGATCGGTTTATGAATGCTGATGATTAAACCCCACACTTCTCGAATGCTAGACAAGCACTCCACCAAATGAACTACACCCCCTGGTCTGGAAAGCACGTTTCAGAATGGTTAATAAAAAATAAGGTGAATGTGTGCTAGCAAGATAGCGAGGGCACTTGCTGCCAAGCCTGATCCCTAGGACACATGGCAAAAGGAAAGAACAGACTCCTATAAGGTGGCCTCGGATCTCCGCACTGCCCCTGTGGCACACATATGTCCACGCACATACACATCAAATGGGCAAAACAAACATACAAGTATGTACTTAAAAACAAACAAAAAAATAAGGTGAATAAAACAAACAGAAAAGAAGGC